GGCGGCAGTGACCACTATGGCGGTGGCAGTGGCAGTGGCAGCAGTGGCGGTGGCAGTGGCGGTGGCAGTGGCGGCGGCAGTGGCGGCAGTTCTGGGGGCAGCTGGGTGAGTTCTGCTCCTCGGCTGAAGGCAGAGATGGGGCTGAGGCCCTGGTGGCCCCGGGCGAGGCGATGCACTCCAGGGTCTTCCTGAGTGCTGCCAGCCCTGGGGAGGTGGCATCACTGGCAGGTGGCACCCTGTGGCTCCTTCAGCTTCTGTTCCCTACCTCCCCAGCCCCCCCAAGCAGGGTTCCTTAGATATGCGCCCCGACTTTCCAGAAGGGGTGCCCTCCCTATTCCTGCTCCCTCCAGCCCTGCTCCCTGCTCCCTGCCCCCTCCGCGGTGGGGGGATTTTCTGTCCCATCTGACCCCTGTTCCTGCAGTCGGGGCGCTTGGCAAATCTGACAGCAGCTGGGGGTGACGAATGGAAGAGAGGTGGGCGCGGAAAGGCACAGCGCTGCTTAGGGAGGCTCCAGGGAGTCTGGGACAAGCGCGCACGTGGGGACTGAGGGACCTTGACAGCTGTGGTGCAGACTAACTAGTACAGATGCTGCACACGCGTCCCCTCCCCGTGGGTGAAGGGGCCAGGAAGGGACCGCAACCTGGCAGCTGGATTGGGGGAGGTGCCTGAGAGGGGACCTGCAGAGAGACAGCACTGCTGGCCTCCTTGGGAGTCAGGGAAAGGTGTCAGGCAAGAGGAAGGAAGCGACGAGAACGAGCGGATCAATAAGCTGCTTTAACTTACTGCTCCTTGTACCACCGGCTTTTACTCCATCTAAGGGCAACCGTTAGGCAATTCTAGAAATTTGGATCAGGCTCCCTTCCAGTGACCCTTTCCCTTTTCTAGGTTCCAGGAGAGGGCGAGGGGAGAGGAGGGACAAGGGCAGGTGTCAGGGGGCTTGTGTGCAGTTAGGCTGCAGAGGCCTGGCCACCCCCCCGCACGTGCTGGGAAGTGGGGAGCAGCAGCTCAGAATCCCCCAGTTGTCCCACCTTCCCTGACACACGTGGCCACGCCTGGCCTTCCCTGTGCTCTGAGTAGCTTCCCTCAGTGACCGACTGACTGGCTGAGGACTGGCGGTGTGGAGGTTGGGGCGGGGGTAGGTGGCTGGGAATTGTTTGGTCCCTTCGGTCCTTTTAAGACACCGGCTGGCTCCTGCTTTCCCTTCTAGGGAAACAATGCTGGCTCTTCCTCGGGGAGCAGCGGAGGAGGCGGTGGAGGGAGCAAACCCGGGGTGAGTGTCTGGTGTTCACACCTGCACGGTGGCCCTGAGCCCGGGGAAGGAAAAGGGGAGGCCCCTCGGGTGACGGGAGGGAGCCAGCTGGGCTGCTGGTGTTGGTGATGGGAGTGACAGCTGGGCTGGCCTGGCTTAGCTTCAGGGTTAAAGAGCTGCAACTTGAGGGCTGGAACTGGAGTCTGGGGAGGGACAGAGAGCAATCTGCTTTCTCTTTCCCACAGTGTGACAACCCAGGAAATGAAGTCCGGGTGTCCGGAGGGTCTGGGGGTCAGGTGAGAGCCAAACTTGTGACCACACTTCATCACTGTGCCTCGACCTCGTTCCTTTAACTCAGCTCTGTCCAGCCGCCCTCCTATTGCTAATCTCCACCCTAGCCCCGTCTGTGGGGAATTTACAGTTTAGGGGAAGAGACCAAGAGCATAAAATTACTAACAATCTCCAAAGGAGTAATGAATCCTTAGGTGGCATACCCCACAGATGGGGCTGTGAAAAATCGTATGAGAGCCAGTCCTTTTAGAGCCATAATTGTTTCGAATGTTCAATACCTGGCTGTGAGCATAATTTGGTGGCCCCTTTGGCAGAGTTTGAAATGGTGTTTTGAAGGCATATGTCCCCCTCCTAGTCATTCTGGAAATTTGGGTTCTCTGTCAAGTATCCGTAACGCTGACAAGAAGTGTCACACCACTGTGCACCCGGATCGCCTGGGGCCTGGTGAGAACGCGGGTCTGGTTCAGCAGCTCTAGGTGCGGCCGAGATTCTGGTTTCTAACAAGCTCTGGGCGAGGCTGGTACTGCTGCTCTGTGTCCTCATGTGAGTGCGGCATGACCCTGTGGTGCTACATTGACAAGGCTCGCTGAAGAGCTCCTAAAATATTGGGGATACTAACCCTTTACGGGTAGGCAGGTTTCAAGAAAACCTCTCCCAGTCTGTAACTTTATTTCTAGTTTTTTCACACCAAAGTCTCCTTTTCTAGGGTTTCTGCTTTTGAAAATAATGGTCTTTATTTTCTTCTAGCATTACTAGTACTTCTGTAATTTCATTGTCAAATTTAACTCTTTAACCCATCTGGGTGTTATTTCACTATGTACTGTCTAGTCCACCCCTAGATCCAAGGAGGCAGACCCTGCCCTTTGGATCAGATCTGTGTGCTCTCTTAGGAGGAGACAGCCAGATAAAAACAGGAGGAGGAAACTGGTGAGGGACAGATAGCTTTAAAGTACCTATATATTTTTATTGATTTCAGAGAGAGGAAGGGAGAGGTAAAGAGAGAGATAGAAACATTAATGATGAGAGAGAGTCATTGATTGGTTGCCTCCTGCTCGCCCCCTGTTGGGGGTCAAGCCCGCAATCTGGGCCTATGCCCTGACCGGGAGTCGAAACGAGATCTGCTGGATCATAGTTTCGGATGTTCAACTGCTGAGCTACGCTGGCCAGGCAGGTATAAATAAGTTTTTCCCAAAAACCTTAACTGGTATTCCCAGCCTTGTGCATGGAATCATTTCCATCATTGATTTAAAGCATCACTTATAAATACCTCTGGGGAGAGCTTCTGGGAGTTCTATTTTGTTAAATCAATTCATCTGATCTGGGCCAGGAGCCATACCGTGTTATTCATGGTAGCTCTATAGTACATTCATATCTGCAGTATGAGTCCCCGCTTGCTGCTTCTCTTTTCCAGTGTTTTCTTGCTGAGTCTTAGACATTTGTTCTTCCAAATGAACTTCAAGAGGATTTTGACAAGTTCCAAAGAGAATTCCATTAGGATTTTAAGAGGGATCGTATTAAATCATACATAAACTTTCAGGGATGGACCTAGGATTTAAAACAATGACCTGGGTTTCACTGTCTTGTCCTTCAGGGCTTCAGAGGCCCCAGTGGCTCTGGTGACATCAGGGTAAGGAGACGACTGGTCTTGAGAGTAGGGACTATGGCAGCAGGAAGTGGGCTGGAGGTCAGCTCTGCAGCAGCAATACTAACAGGGCAGACAGTCCCACCTCCCGGCCTGGTCTAGAGCTTAGTTCTGGGAATGAAGAGGGGCCAGTAGGTCTGGGATCCACGCCAAAGAGTGGAAGCAGGACTCAAAGGAACTCACCTGTACCTAGGAGGAGAGCAGGCAGTCTACTCCTGTGCCACCTCAGCTAGCATCACCTTTCTGGCCAGTGCAAAACCTCAGCCCACGCTGGGTCCTGCATTTTGAATTAATTCAGTTCAACAGCCTGGCTGGTTTCTGCTTCAACCCCAGGGGAGAATTCCTTGGTGGCAAAGGGCCTTCCTAGTGAATTGTGGACAGCTTGCAGACAGGAGCAGAAACAGATGGTTATGGTACCCATGAGCATCATGAGTGAGCAACAGCCCGATCCACAAGGAGGTGAAACAAGATTCACCAGGGAAGACGGAGCTGCCCAGAGAGAAGGGCCTGTCTCAGGGTCCTGGGAAGTCCTCGGTCGTGCTCTTGCCTCAGTCTTGATTCAGGAATCCTTCACCTACATCTCACCTCACATCCCACCAACTCTTCTCCATTTTCTCTCCTCAGGGAATAAACAGGGAAGGTGGCCACTTCGTTGGGGGCTCCCAAGGCAATTATCAGGTGAGCAGGGATGGCTTTTGGAGAAGGGATGGTAGAGTGTGGGGACAGAATGCAAAGGGCCTGGGAAAAGAAAGCAAAATATCAGTTTCTTCTTACCAGCTGTTCTGAACCTGTGTCAGGTGACTACCAGGGGACCTGACAGGGGCCCGGGGTCCCCAGCATCCTCCTTGATCCATCCATTCTCTCCCTGCTCCAACTGCAGTCACAGTCCTATTATGTCTGTGAGGGAAAAGCAGATGAAAATAACAGAAGAATGGCCAAGGGGAAATTTTAAAAATCATACTGAAAGAGGAAGTGTTGAGAAGCAGGGAGGCAGTGAACTTTGAGTTAGAAATGGGAGTTCAAACACCAGCTGGGTCATTTGTCATCTGTGAATCTTCAGGCAAGTCAGTTGACCTCCACGAGCCTGGCCTTCCTCTTGGGTAAGGCGGGGACAGTGAAGCCTAACTTTCTCACCCCCACAGTAACTGCAAAGATTTCTGCATCACAACCCAACCCAGGGGGCTCAGGGCGCAGACACTGAAGTCTGACACGGAGACAGATCTGAGGCAAGCTGTTGGACAGCTCTAAGTGTGTTTCCTCATCTGTCAAATGGAGACATCTCCACAAAGGAACATGGCAGGATAAGGCACAGTGCCTGGCACACAGCGAGACTACACATTAGGGAGTGGGTAAGGTTATTCTAGGAAGCAAATAATGAGTCATTCCAGGAAGGCTTCCTGGAGGTGGGGTTCTTAGGTATTGCATAAAGAAGAAGAGAGGTGACTTTACAGAGGGTACGTGGCATTGAGCAAAGGCAAAGATGAGGGGGCCAGGAGCAGGCTGATGGGTGGTACCCATGACAAGATGCACAAGCCTTGAACATGAGTCCCCCTTTCCCCACCCAGGGGCAAGGGTCCAGTGGGGGAGGTGAAGCTGTCGGTGGAATCAATAACCTGGTGAGTGGAGGCATTACCCCACCTTGGGCTAGGATCCTCCAGACACCCATGCCTCTTGCTCACAAAGTGGGTTCTTACTCTCACCCCATTTCTCATTGGTTCCTTAGAACTCTCAGACATCTCCTGGGCCCTTCAACTTCGACACTTTCTGGAAGGTGAGTTCAGTAAGACAGCTCTGCTCATTCATTCTTCTTTGGAAAACAAAAACCCTGTCCCTTGACCCCACGGGATGAAGTCCTCTTTCTATAACAGCTGTCAGTGGTGGCCCTTGACCTCTCTCATCCTGAGGCCCTGAGCCAATTACATTATTGTGATCCAGTTTGGTCAGTCTCTTTCTCTCTTTCTCTCTGCAGAACTTTAAAGCCAAGCTGGGTTTCATTAACTGGGATGCCATAAACAAGGTAAGGGCTGGAAAGCCATGCCATTTGATCTTTGTGGGAGAGGGAGATAGGGAAGAAAGTGAAAGCTCTGAGCCAGGGACGTGATGATGATGGCCATGAAGAGCATTTCGGCCAGTGCTAAAAGCAAACAAAAAAACAAACAAAAAAACGAAAACAAGGAGGAGGGACAGTAGACATCTGAAAAGAGAGGGAGACTTTGCAGACAGTTGGGAGTTGGGGATGAGNCAAAAAATGAAAACAAGGAGGAGGGACAGCAGACATCTGAAAAGAGAGGGAGACTTTGCAGACAGTTAGGAGTTGGGGATGAGAAATGAATGGGCCTCTTTCATACCTTAAAATGCCAACCTCAACAGGTCTGAACCTCACTTTCCCCTTCGAGACCTGGAGGTTAACAGGAGAGTACATAGATGTAATCCTCAGGAAACCAGAGGGGCAGGGGAGGCCGGGGTGGGGAGGTGGACTGAATAGCCCTGTGGAGCTAAAAGGCCACACGAGGCCTGACACGGAGAGAGAAGGGAAGGAGAAAGCCACATCTGCTGAGGGCCTGGTGGGTGCCCTGTACATACGTAATCTTAGGGGACGCTTGGAACCCAGGACCCCTTTCTTCTTCCTCCCTGCCCACCCCTTCCTCTTTCAGGGAAAGTCCTGGCCAGGCCGACTCGACACCAGAATAGTAGAGAGAGTGGGCTGGAAGGAGAGGGTGAGGGCAGACAAACGGCCCAAACAAATACCACAGGCAGAAGCTGCAGCTGGCAGCCCAATTATGTGTTTTGTTTGATACACTTAAAAACACACACAAAACAACCAATGTAAATTAGTTGCCAAAGTTTAAAAATGGATAGACTTCACAAAATGACTTGGATTCCTGACTTCTCTTGAAAAAATTGTCAACACGGGGCCCCTTTCCATGGGGCTACAATAAACTGAAGCTGAGTGGCAGCTGCTTCTTGCCATGGGGGCTTGCTTTCCAGTGGCCGGACTTCCCCTGCCCATCAGTCATTCTAGCCACCTGACTGGTCTATGTTCAGTTGAGTTTCTAATCCTTAACTTAAAAGACTGAAGATTAGCCCTGGCCGGTTTTGCTCAGTGGTTAGAGCATCGGCCTGAGGACTGAAGGGTCCTGGGTTTGATTCTAGCCAAGAGCACATACCTCGGTTGCAGGCTCCATCCCTGGCTCAGGTTGGGCGCGTGCGGGAAGCAGCCAATTGATGTGTCTCTCTCACATCGGTGCTTCTCTCCCTCTCTCACTTCCTTCTACTCTCTGAAAAGCAATGGGAAAAATGTCCTCTGGTGAGAATTAAAAAGAAAACAAGAAAATGAAGACCAGGATCCTGGCCCCCAAACCTTGTGCAGAAGAGAGGGTGGTGGGAGAGGGCGTGGAGGGAGAGGGAAGCAAAGAGGCAGCCCAGACCTCAAGAAAGTCAAAGCCACCCTTTGGGGGGAAGGAGGAGTGGAAGATAGAAGATGCAGATGTTCCCAGATGCAGCACAGTCTGCTTTGCACGAACTAAATGAACAAAGAGACTGTGTCTGTTTCAGGAGAACGGTCTCTGGTGGGCAAGACTCCTTACTGTGAACCACAGGGGCCAGGCCCCCGAGCATGGGGCCCTTGGGGTCTGATGGGGAACCAGGGCACAGACAGGCACCTCCCAGAGGGCCAGGACAGACAGGACAGCAGAGTGCTTCCTCACCTCTAGGGGGCAGTGAAGTGAGTGCCTGCAGTCAGGCAGCATTCATTTGGGGTGACTTCCCGGAGGAGCAGATCTCAGAAGAGGGGCAGGACAGAGTTGGGCAGAGAGGAGAATGGGGAGCCCCAGCTCCTTCACAGTGTGGGGAGGGGTTGAGGACTTCCTCCATTGTGAGGAGTGAAGATGGGGGGCTATACATAACATTCCTGGCGAGGTGTGGGGTTATAGCCCAAGCTGGAATATCTGAGTTTGACTGGATGACAGCCGTGGTTCAAAACGGCCCCTGCAGACTTCTGGAGCAGGGGTCCAATCTAACCTTGACTTGGTCCATCACTCCCTGCAGTCCTGTTCCTTGAGCTCCCTCTTAGAACCTATTTCTTTGCCCAGGACGAGAGGAGCTTTCACATCCCGTGACCTCCAGACAAGGAGCTTAAGAAGATGGATGGGAGCCCCCCACCCCTTCTTAAAACAGCACTATCTTACCACTAATCTCAGCCCCTGCCCTTGAAATAAACCTCAGCTACCCCACGCTCCTGGTCTCTGCTCCTTTCTTCCGTCTCAGCTGTTATCCCAGGGGCCTTGGAAGGGATGACTTGAGCCCCACAGCTCTGGGAAATGGGCTGGAGGTGGCACAGCAGGTGAAAGAGGCAGGGAGCCGTGCGGCAGGTCTCAGTCCTGAGGTTTTGCTGCGGTTGTGTTCAGCAAGAGGAAGGGGAAACAGGGTAGAGAACTGTTCTCTCTGTGCGCTAGGGGCCAGGAGGACGGTTAATGGCTCCAGAGATCTAGCTTCTCTCTTCCTCTGCTCGCAGAAATAGTCTTCTGGTCCTTAAAGACACCCAGCTTTTGGTCACAGTGCAATTCGGAAGACTGAGAAATGGTGGGAGCGGGAGTAGGGGCTTAGGTGACCAGGGGGTCAGGCTCTCTGCTAACCTGCTCCCCACCTTTCATCCACAGGGTGAAGTCCCGACCCCCAGCACCCGAGCCCTCCTCTACTTCAGTCGACTCTGGGAGGTAGGACAATTCTCTTCTCACTGTTTGAAGAGCTGGGGTCCTGGTCATGCCTGGTCATCCCTCTCTCCTCCTCCCTTAAGGCAACCAACCCGCAGCTCCAACCCACATAGCACAGAGTTCCCCGTTTATTTTGGAGATGAGAAATCTCACCCAAATCTTATCACTAATACCATCAGAAATTCTAACAGCCTCACTGAGCTTATCTTCCTTTAACCCCAACCACATCCAGTCTCCAAAACCCATTCTTGTGCTGGTCTGGAAACTTTCCCAGTGAGCTGCACACTCCACCCTCTGAATGTGTCTCCCTGGAGCCCACTCATCTCTCCCTCTCCTTCCAGGATTTCAAACACAACACCCCTTTCTTGAACTGGAAAGCAATTATCGAGGTAAGGGCTGCAGAACATACTTTGGGGTCAGGAAGCTCGGCTCTGGGGATGCGGGGTTCTGGGTCCTTGGCAATGGCTGGCAGATTTTGTCCCAGTTCCTCATCCTCTCTGCTGAGGGAGGGTGCCTCCCTCCTTTCCCACTTTCCTAAGTCACTGAAAAAGGAGCAGAGTGGCGAGTCCTCCTTAGGATAAAAGCCCAGGCCGGGGGCTGGGGCCCTCACAGGCCCAGGAACACGAAGCTGGCCTCTGTCTCTGCTCCGCTGCTGCTCCTGCTGGGCCTGGCCTGGCTCCGGGGGAGCCACAGCTGGGTGGGCTCTGCAGGGTGAGAAGGTGTTGGGGACCGTGAGGCGGGGAAGAGGGAGGGGCCTCAACTGGAAAGGAGGCAGTAAGGAGGAAGGTTGAAGGGTAACAGTAGGTATGAGGGTGAGGGGGTCAGGTCATTGTCAACTGCAGGCAGGTGCACAGGGTCTGACTATCTGGGCTCCGGGAAGGATAGGTAGGGCCTCTGGGTCTCCCAGAAAGCCACACTTCAATTCTGCATGACCAGTGGCCTTCAGGAACCAGGTCCCTTAGGCACTGAGGCAAGGGTGCCCACTCACTAGTCCACATGGGCCAGGCGCCTGAAGCTGGACAGGTGGGGCCATGCAAAGGAGGAGGCCAAGGCCTTCCAGCTGAGCATTGTCACGTTCCCAGGCAGCATCAGTGTGACACCTGGTTCTTCAAGAAAAGTTAGAAATCTGATTTTTAATTGCTCACAAGTAAATTAATTTAAAAGATGCAAACCAAGTAAAAAATGTCTGGAAGCCTGTGGTCAACCAGTTTGCGACCTCAGTGTTAGGGCTAATGGTGGAGTGGAAGGTCAGTCAGGGGAGGGTAAGGTAGAGTTAAGCCAGAGTTCAGAAGAACATGCTAACCCTGTGTGTGTGAGGGGGTGGTGGTGTTGCTAGGAGAGAAATGATGATGAAGGAACTAACTTCTCTCCCACTGCTTAGAAACGACCCCTTGTCTCAAGTGGGGAGGGCAGGTGGCAGGTGCGTCTGCCCCCTGTCATAGGAGCTTCACTTCCTTCCTTGTATTTCCCTCCTTTCTTTCTCTTTGACCCAGAGCTAACGTTGCACACTGCACTTTGGGAACAGCATCTGTGAACAGGGATAAAGGGCCTATTAGGGGAGCAGGGTTTGGTGTCACCAAAAGGTGGGCTGGGGTGGAGGGCCCTGGGTCTGCCCCCATGCGAGCCTGCGTGGGCACCACACACTTGTCATTCTAGGTCAGCCTCAGGCCAGCCTGCCAGCGTTCCAGGTGCCTGGGTGGGGATGGTGTTGCTAAACCCAGTTCTCTACGCTCACTCCCCAGCACCGAGTGTGGAAACCTGCCTGTATCTATCTGGGCCATCAGCTGCCTCCAGGCTCACTGCCCTCTCCGGAGGCAGCACTTCTGGACCACTGAGAAGGGTGGGGGGGGAGGTGGGATGCTGGTGCTCCGAAGGGAGGGCTCCTAGGCGGCAGGATGCTGGAGTCCTGCAAATCTGCAAGGCCCGAGGACCACCGAGACGCTCTGACTGCGGCTCCCTCTTTCTTACAGGATGACTACCCATCATCATCACTCCAGAAGAGGGCAGGCAGTGCTGGCCAGGTAAGGCTCTGCCTCAGACTGACCTTGGAGGCCCTGGGTCCCTCTCAGTCCTGTCCCTCCTTCTGGCCAATCTAACTTCTCCTTCGCTCTGTTCTGTAATTTTCTCAGCCTGGTGCAGAATGGTCAGAGCCAGCAGCTGTGACTTCTAAGGTAAGAAATCTGCCACGTGGCCACCCGACTTAGACCTCACCTCATTCCTTGGTCTCCCCTCACCGCCCAGTAACGCTTGAGTTGGAAGAGGGAAGGAGGCCGAGCCATTTGGGCTAGGGCCATAGGAGTGTGCCCGTGGGCTGTGGATGGCTGAAGGAGATTCTAGAAAGGAAAACA